CAACCTGTTTAGTATTCTTGTAGACCCTTTTGGGACCAACAAGATGAGATTACCCGAGATGTACCAGATCAATCCCCTTATCAAATGTTATTAATAAGTGAGTTTGATATTAAAGGTGATCAATGGTCCAGATCTTTTCTTACGTTTATCACTTTAAGTCTCATTCTCACACGATCCTTTGCCTGTATATATTATAATAATAAACAAAGTATCATGTGAGAATAAAAGTTAATAGGTAAGAATCATAAGAAGAGATCTAGACCCCTGATCACTTTAAATCTCACTCTCACTCCATTAACTATGTTTATCACGAGAATTGATCCAGTGCATCTCGGTGTACCGCATTAATATTAATCTTCAATTCCAAGGATGAAGATTTTTTTTATCCTTCTTACCATAACTTTCATTTTCATCAGAACACAACTCTTATATAATATGTCTATATATAAAATATGTATAGTGGGTGATTCTAGATGGATAATTAACTACCAATTGATGATGTTATTTTGTATCTCATATAACAAAGAATCAACTCATTAAACTAACAATATGTTTTTTGTCAACAATTATATTTATAATGTAAAATAACAAGATAGTTTCTTTGGGTTCATTTTAGGATCAAGTTATTGTTAAGGGCGTTTGAGATTATTTATTTGAAACAACTTATACTTTTTTATAAAAGTACTTATCAATTTATTATAAGTTAGAAGGGTTTAACTTCTTTAAAAACTTCTTATTACCGGTTTGACACCGGTATAAATTGTTTATTTAAACACTCAAAAGTGTTTGTTACCGGTGCTACACCGAAATAAATCAATAAGTTGTTTTTATAAGCAATCCCAAACACCCTGTTAAGCTATTGCAACTTATTTGACCATCAAATGTGATACAATTCAATTAAGATAAAAACTCATTACTAGTGAATACAATTTAAAATACGTTAATTGCTATGTTAAGTGAAATCTCAAAAATACATTATCTAAAATAAACGAAGGAGCGCTTTGTTATTTTTCATAAAAATATATATTGTCTAAAATGAAAATTTACTGCTGTTATATGTATTTAACCTTGTTAAAATTCAATAAGCAAGTAGGAGTTTTTTTTATTAACCTGAATATCCAACCCGGTATACGAGCTGACTAATCCCGGAGTGATCACCTGTTCTGCGGGTACGTAACCCGAAGTCACTGCATTTGAATTTTTATTTTTGTTATTTAAAAGTTGAATTTTTTTATTTTAAATATTGTTAAATTACTGACAAGCATTCCGTGGGAAATCCGTCGAAAAAATCCACAAGAAATTTGACGGTTCTAAAAAAAAATCTTTCTTTGTTGATTTCATAATATTAAAATCATGTAAATTAAAGAAACTCCTAAAGTAAAAAATTGTGAAAAACTAATACAATACATCAATTAATTCCCAATACAATTGTCTGGGCCAAATAAATAAAGTACAAATTGTTCAACAAAATTAAAGTACGATAATTCATCGGAAACGTAATTAATCAAAAAAAGGGAAGTTTTTATTGGTGGATTTTCTTAATAATAGATAAACAAAATTTCGCCGCAAATCCACCACAAAAATTTAATTGGATTTAATTGTCTTAATAAAATTTTGTGGGAACGGTCAATAACAGTTGATCTTTTTGACTTTTATGGAATACGGCAAAAATTTGTCGGTAATTTTCCGACATAAAATACGTCAGAAAAATTCGTTGATGGAACCCCTTTATTTAATTGTGTTTAATTACAAGAAACAGAGGCAACAACAATAAATGAATCAGTAACAAATCCTTAGCAAATCCGTGTCCCTAGCAACTCTGTCACAAAAAATGTCGTAGCTCATACCTCACCTGTCTCTTCGACTCAAAGGATACCTACAAATATGAAACATGCGCCATACGAATTTTCCGTATTAATGTGTTTGTCCTAGTACAAGCAAAAAAGAAAGAGTCAAATATAAATATAAAAAAAAAAATTTACTCTTGTTATTTTTCTTATTAATCTAGATATCCAATCTGCTATGTGAGCTGACTAATCCTAGGACGATCACTCCCTTTGCGGATGGCCCAGAGTCATCGCATTTGAACCTCAATGACCATAAAAGGATTTTTATTTCTCTTTGGATTTGAACCTGAGACTTCCAGACACTTTTGACCTTTGGAACCCAAGCTTAAACCAATCGGGCACCACCCTTGTGGTTATATCTTGTTATTTATTAGCGATAGATATACAACGAAATTTTAAATTTAGGTTTTTATTTATTTAAAAATCGGAGTTTTTTTTTTCTGTAGCTAATTCATAGAAAAATTATAGATATTGCGAAGGATTAGCTATGATAATTGTATGTGCATTACAAAAAATTTGAGTGAGAATTAAAGTTTTAGATTTTATAATTGATCCGTTGCAAATCAGTAATGGATGAGTCCGTAACAAATGATTGATCGTTGTTGTCCCTGCTTCTTGTAGTGTTTTCCTTAGCTCCCTCCTTCTTACCTCCCCAACCCTCGTATTTTCTATCCTACTCATTGGTGCCACTGGTGATGGTGAATTGATCGATCGAGCAAACTAATATAGGTTTATTATTGTTGAAAGTAGATCGATATACCTTGTCATATTTTTGCGTCATTTTCGTTGTTTAGATACCTCATCATATTTTTGCAACATTTTCGTATAATTTTAATAAAATTAACTAATATAAATCATCATTAATCGGTTGATCTTTTCCGTCAATGTTTTTCATATTTTTTTTTCTTGTCTTGTTTCAAATTGTTGAATACCTTGTTAACATGTTAGATTATAGTAGTCTTTGTGCATTTAGCCTACGGGCTAATTAAGGAGGCGGAAATTGTTGCAAAAGGAACAAGAGGTATAGGAGTCGACTCCAAACTACCTTTCAGACATGTAATTTACCTCATTATGATGGTTATATATGTGACAGGTATATATGGAAGAAACAAATATTTTGATATGATCATTTAGGAGCCATAAATATGTTAGATCATTACGGATTCGGAAATATGAGAAAATGGAAACATTAAAATAACATATATATATATATCATTCTACTTAGATGTGAGAATACTTGATTTGCCCAATTCTAATCTAAAGTTTCTACATTAATAATCTATAAAAAACATGAAAACGTGTTCAAAAAATGTGAACAATACGTCAATACACATGCACCTTGATAAGAATGAAACTCGAAGTCAGTACAACCACAAAAAAGTCACTGTCCCCACGAATGGGAGCGAGCACAAACAACCTATTCAAGCCCAAGTTCAGGTGTCCATAACATAAGTGCCTTAGTGTAATTCATGTTCATTGAGTCTTTCTGGTTAAATAATGCTACACCAAACAAACCCTTAAAATATGTCATGATTCGGTTCTCATCATTGGCTCTGATATGATACCATCCATGGCTCTAATACCATGTTAACAGAATGCTAGTTTAGCGTCAAGAGAAGCTCGGGAAAACCCCATGATCCGTGATTTAAATTTTTCATGTCGATGGTAGCCTCTCGAGTTGTAGTCTCCTGGGTAGAGATTGAGATGTTGCAAGACCCTCCCATGGTTGAGCAAAAACTTAACTAGAATAATAATGTCATTTTCACATTCAGAAAAGCCTTGAATCTTTACAACCCTTAGAAACTGAAGAAGAGGCTTCAAATCATTGGTTTGGGATTCCCAGTACTGTTCTTCCCAAGTGCTCGATAAATCCCACACATTTCTGTTATTCCACTGCAAGAATGGAGAAGAAATTGATTATTTAAGCGGTAAATGGAAATAGAAGTAGAGACATCACTACATCAAATCAGTTCTTTATTAGGACCCCAACCATTTTTTAGCTTCCTAGTATTTAACAGACTTTTTAAGTTTTAGGACAACATCTAATACAATGAAGTTATAAGAAAGTTAGACAAACTAACAAGTTATATATATTAATGAAGTTGGACAATCAAATTAATACAAACAACAGATTGTCTCATTAATATTTTTATATGACATTTTTGAAAAGTATTGTACAAAAAAGGCTAATAAGACCATTTCAAAAGCGTCATATAGAAAAGTTAAAGAGTATTTATTTCTCCCGTCTTATTACATTGTCCAAATTCATTGATAGAACTTGTTCAGGCGTCTCTCTTCAGTTTTAAGAACTTATTCTAACGTCATTGTATAAAACTCATTAGGCGGTCAATGGACGGGTTGATGTACTAAAAAAGACATTTATGGTAGTAAATTGTATATATTGAGACATTCATAAATCCAAATTTATAACACTTACTCTCCTTTCGGACTTGAGACCATTGGTGATCTTGATGATTAGTGTGTGGATCATAGGGCAGACCTTGAGTAAACTTGCCAATCCACGAATTTCACTAATGTGCAGTTCCAACGATTTGAGCTTCACAAATGGATGGAAAAATATGTTTGCAAGAGGATTGTTCTTCAATATGATCTGTGTCCAAGAGAACTCATGATTCTTGTGACTAAAAAGAGGGGAATATTTATTGTTCCTATCATACAGCTATTAATTACGGGTCATATAATGAACATGTAATTAAGTTCCTGTAATAATCCCTCATCGACTAAACAAGAACTATCAAGTCTATATATGTGTGTGTGTGTAAGAACCTCCATTATCTCTGTAAGTGCTCTTTCACAGAGAGATTGAAAAGAGTTCCAAGTGGACTTATTATAAGATGGAGAACGAAATGATAACAATATACATGTAGTGAAGTACCTCTACAAACGGGCTTTCTAGCGTAAGAAACTCGGTATGAGAGAATCCGGAGAGAAAACTAGATACATTTTGGAGCTTAGCGGCATCCAGATTTTCTTGGCGTGCAAGAAACCCTATAGTAACGTCATGCAAGCAAAGTAGATTTTGCATACAACTCTTTCCGGTAATTGAAGTATTAGACCAAACAATGGTATGCAATCTTGGTGCATTGATTTGAAACGAGGTGTTATCAGTATTAATAGCATTAAAACAACTTGAAACCTTCAATGTCTCCAATCTGGGAGACAAAATCTCCAAAACTTGTAACGTGGAACAATTATCTAGCATTAGTTCTTCTAGCAAACGACAACCCACTCGAAGGTGTTTCAAATTGAAACAAGAATCTAAATTGAGTTTCCTTAGCTGTGGAAACGAAGAATCTGTGAACATATCGAGTAAATATGATTGATTGTCTAGGTGGACAAAGGAAAGTGATAATGTTTGGAGTGTCCGAAATCCCGATCTCATAATCCTCGATGGAGGTAATCTGAATCCAGGGCAAGACCTCACCTTCAAAACCCTCAAACAATCACTCCTAATTATGCTTCTAGGAAAGTTAAATGTGTCATTGGTCGCAACCCTAATGTCGAGTTCTTGAACTCTAAGCCTAACAGCGGTACGGATGAGTGCGTGTAGCCCAGAAAAGCTCATACAAGCACAGAAACGAAGGATCCTCACATCAGAAAGCTTCGTACGAAGAGATAAAATTTGGGTGATCACATTGCCGAGGTTCTTCAAGTAAACAAACTTTGTTAAAGCAGTTCCCGATGGGATGATGGTGGTGAAATCAAGATCAGGGAAGGTGTACCAAAGAGTCCTCCATCGTTTCGATAAAATGCTTGTTTGTACGATGGATTTGATGGGAAGAAGGAAGAGAATGTGATGAAGAACGGCATTGGGAAGATCAGTTATGCGATCTTCGCCGCTGTTGTTTTCCGATGGATGTTCAGGATTTCGAAGCTTTCTTCTCTTGGCAGATCTCGTTTCCATTGCATTGGTTGGATTGATTGATTTGTGGGTGGCGTTTGATGTTGAATATTGATGGATGTTTTTGTTATGTGGCGATCGAAGAGAGAGAGAGAGAGAGAGAGAGAGAGTAATAGGTTAGGGTTTGAAAAGTTCAACAACTGGACTCGATCGTATAGAATACGAGAGGGCCGCTTGAGTTGGTTCCAAATTTGAAATCCCTTCTCCTCGAATATTATTAAAATAAACGGAATAATCCAAAAAAACTCAAAGATAGTATCCTATTTTAAATCTATTTTGAAGGACTAGAATACGTATATATTACAAGGGTATTCGTGTAATACATTGAAACACATTTTTATTTTAATGTTTCGTTTTATTTTTTATCCATGTCGACATCATACGATTTTATGTGGTTTTGAAAAAGCAACAATGTTTCTATTTTTGAATAAAATATAAATTTGATAATATTATAAAAATTTGCAAAAACTATATCTTGAATTTAAGTAATATGCATCAATAAACAGTACTTTATGCATAAAAAATGGTTTTTAAAAGTTTTGGTCAAATGCTTTATAATATAGTATAGATATTCATTTTAATATTTTGTTTTATTTTTTATTTTTATTGATATAAGTTTTGAGAAAGATGTTGTTTTAACTTTTAAATAAAAATAAATTTAAAGATATCATAAATTTTTTTAAAAATATATCGATATTAATAGCAAATTAACTATTTAAAAGTTCTCTTTTTTATACAATTTCTTAATTCAATTTTTTATTATAACTTAATTTAGGTCAAATAGCAAAGTAATTTATTTTAGGCTTATAATTTTTGTAAAGATAATGATTATGTTAAAACTCAATGATTATCCTAATTATATTTTAGATTTTTTATATTTAAAATAAGATGTTTATCATGTATTTAATTATGTTTATTTGCAGTTAGTTATACGAGTCATAACGTTTGCCCAACAATTGACAACCCATATCTAATACAAAATATACATCAATTTCGTTTATAAATACAAGTCCTAACGTTTGTCCAACAATTCGCAACCCATTTCTAATACAAAATATACCTCATTTTCGTTTATAAATACAAATCCTAACGTTTGCCCAACAATTGACAACCCATTTCTAACACCAAATATACCTCAATTTCTTGAATTTTGATACTTGACAAAACAATTTGTTAGTACCAATAAACTTGTGTTTTAAGCATTTGTGGCATCTAAAGTATATTAATATGCATAAAAAAAAGTCCAAAACGAATCATTAAAACTATGAATTTGATATTGAAAAACGTGTAAAAAAATAATGGCTGATGAAGTTTCGTGTTTGCAACGAAATTACAAAATGTTTAATTGACAAACCTTTCAACATCAATTTTTATACATACATACATACATACATACACACACACACACACACACACATATATATATATATATACAAACATAAATTTATATATACATACATATATCTACATACAGAAATAGGTGGAGGTTCAAACGAGAACCCTTGTGATTTACGAGAACGTGAGAATAACCCAATAACCTTAAACTTTTTTAATTAATAACTTAAATTATATTAAATATGAATAAATTAATAAGAGCAATAATGTAATTAAGTAATTTTTATAATTTTTATTTTAATTAATTATAATTATCCCTTATTTTCCTGGATTGATCAGGTTCGTTTCCACTCTCTTCTCTTCCCTTGTGATAATTGTGTGATTGTGCAACCATAACCTATCGAAACCATGATCAATCGAGTGTAACCATAACCTATCGAAACATGGAGTAATCGTCGTGATAAATGTGTGATTGTCTAACCCTAACCAATTGAAACCATTATCAAATTGAGTGCGCAAGTGATCTTATGATAGTGATATCACATGATTATCACACCCATATCATATCAAATCGTTTAGTAGATTTCGTCCATAATCATTGTGATAAATGTGTGATTGTCTAATTCTAACCTATTGAAACCATGAGTAAATGTTGTGATAAATGTGTGATTGTCTAACCCTAACCGACTGAAACCATGATCAAATCGAGTGCTCTATTATGATAGTGATATCACATGATTATCACACCCATATCATACCAAATCGTTTAGTCGATTTCACCCGTAATTGATGTGATAAATGTGTGATTGTCTATCCTAATCGAATGAAAGCATGTTCAAATCGAGTAATTGTGACAGACACCTTGAATAAACTGTGTTTTACGGCTTCTTCTTGTTGTTCAATTCCTGCATGCAAATCTTACGGCTTCTTCTTGCTGTTCGATTCCTGTTTGCTGTTTGATTTCCAGACTTTACGGCATCTTAATCTTCAATTTCTCTTTGAAATCCTTTCGTTTCCTTCTTAATCGATACCTTTTAATAAACTATAACTGTCGAATTAAGTGGATAACTCTAATTTCCAAGATTATAATGTGATCGTGTTTAAAATTGTATGATTTTGATTTCCATTATTATCCTTTCAATTCGAATCTCAATTTTTTTTTGAATCGTTTTAAATTTCAATTTTAATTTCAAAAATCTTTTTAATTTTAACTGTTATCACAATATGGGGTTAATAAGTTGTTCTCACGTTCTCATAAATCACAGGGGTTCTTGTTTGGACATTTCCCTACAGAAATACACACACACACACATACATACATACATATATATATATATATATATACAAACAGAAATATATATATATATATATACATGATACATATATACATTCATACAGAAAAAATATACATACATACATATATGTATATATACACACACACACACATATCGGAGTTGAAGGAGGAGGTCGGCAGTAGGTACGAGGTTGTTTTGAGACAGGTTTGTTTCAATCGGCGGTTTACCGGTTTCTTGAGCTCACAATTGGTTTTTTTAAGATAGGGATATCGCAAGCGGCTGTCAAAATGAGGGAGATAGAGTTTTTATTTGTTTTGAGATTACCGGCGGATGTGTCTGCCGGAAATTGTTTAAAAGTTTTAATTTTTTTAAAATTAACCGGTTTTCTTGAAATTTTTGATTTGGTTTTTAATTTTTTTATTACTATTATTATAATTTTAAATTATTATTATTATTATTATTAAAACTGTTATTATTATTACCAGTAAAATTATTATTATTATTACCACTAAAATTATTATTATTATTAAAATTAATATATATAATTTAAATTATTATTATTATTATTATTATTGAACCGTTAAAGCCCAACGCAATCCATTAAACTCCAACATGATCCATTAAAGCCCAACATGATCCATTAAATCTTAATACGATCCATTAAAGCCCAATACGATCCATTAAACCCACTACGATCCATTAAAGTCCAATACCATCCATTAAAACCCAATACGATTCATTAAAGCCCAATACGAATCCATTAAACCAAATAGAACCATTAAAGCCCAATCGAACATTTAAAGCCCAATAGAAGCGTTAAAGCCCAACACGATCTATTAAAGCCCAACACGATCTATTAAAGCCCAATACGATCCATTAAAGCCCAATACGATTCCTTAAATCTTAATACGATCCATTAAAGCCTAATAGAAACGTTAAAGCCCAACACGAACCATTAAAGCCCAATACGATCAATTAAAGCCCAATAAAATCTTTAAAGTCCAATACGATTCATTAAAGCCCAAGAGAACTGTTAAAGCTTAACTAACATCCATTAAAACTCAATAGGATCCATTAAAGTCTATTACGATCCATTAAAGCTCAATATGATCCATTAAAGCCCAATACGATCCATTAAAACCAAATATAATCCATTAAAGCCCAATCGGTCCATTAAAACCCAATACGGTCAATTAAAGCCCAATACGATCCATTAAACCACAACTAACATCCACTAAAGCCAATACGATGCATTAAAGCCAATACGATCCATTAAAGCCTAATATAGTCCATTAATACCCAATACGATCCTTTAAAACCCAATACGATCCATTAATGCCCCATGCGATCCATTAAAGCCGAATAGAACCGTTAAAGCCCAACTAACATTCATTAAAACCCAATACGATCCATTAAAGCCGAATATGATCCATTAAAGCCTAATATGATAGATTAAAGCCCCATACGATCCATTAAAGCCCAAGACAATCCGTTAACACCCAATACGACCCGTTAAAGCCCAATACGATCCATTAAAGCCCCCAATAGAAACGTTAAAGCCTAACTAACATTCGTTAAATCCCAATACGATCCATTAAAGCCCAACTAACATTCACTAAAGCCCAATAAAACCGTTAAAGCCCAATACGATCCGTTAAAGCCCAATACGATCACCAATACGACCCGTTAAAGTCAAATACGATCCATCAAAGCCCAATCAACATCCACTAAAGCCCAATAGAACCATTAAAGTCCAATACGATTCATTAAGAAAAAAAAGTTTAAAAAATGGAAAAAAATCAAAAAGCTGCCGGAAATCCACTGAAAAGACCGCCGAAAATCATTAAGTTTTTTTTCTTAAATATTGAATAATTATTACCGGCGGCCCTCCGAACATCAATCTTGCATGAACTCCATTTCACAGTACCCTCAGCAACAAGAGAAAAAGCGAACAACAAAGTAGAAAGTAGGCTGAGGGATGCACAAGTTTAACACTCTGATTTGATCAAACCAATTGTATGGCACTGCCAGGAGTAGTAGAAGATCAAGATCTGATACACATGTGAACAACTATAACTACTGGTATGATACATATCATCTTCAAGTTGCTCAGTATTGGGACAAGCTTATGTGCTGCATAACATTTAGAAACATAGAAAATCCATCACTCGTAAAAATTACATAAGCCACAGACCAGTCATCTGTAAAATTCACAATAGTAGAAAAAAATGACATTACCGTTTGGCTAGTTCCTACAACCAACGAACTTGAAAGTAGGATATAAATCAAAATATTTTGTCATGAAAGCTCATATATATCAAACGACTATTTTCAAATACTACCTATAATCAATAACTCTTAAAATTAGAAGATCATGTTCAACAACATTCTAATTTTGTGTTGCTATATGTGTCTTACCTTTTAAAGTAATGAAATAAATATGATAGAACCTGGACAATAATGAAAGAAAGACAATAATGAAACCTTTTAATCGATGTCAATTGTGAAAATCAACTACAACGAGTAGTATGTATTTTATGCAAACTGATACAAATGGAAAAAAATTACCTCCATGTGGAGATCTAGAGAAGCTGGACTCTCTTCCGATAGAGAAGTCAAAAGCTTGAATAGCAAATCGATCGATGGAATGGTGGGAGAAGCCTAACCGATAAAAGTTAAGAATCCTATCCCATTTTGATTATGTTTTAAAAATTAACCCTAACCCATAAGTGAAAATGGAGAAGAAAGATGAACACAAAGTAAAAACTTGAAGAAGAGGGAGGATGATGAACAACCGTATAAGAGGAAAAATAATTACCTTGAATGGAGTCGGTAGAGAAACGATGAATCGAGTGTGGAATCTTAGAAAGGAGCGATAGGAGCATGAAGACCGAGAAGAGCGATCTTTTATAAACCCTAGGGTTATGAACCGTCGCCTTGGGGCCTGAACGTTGCCTTGGAGACTGAATCGTCATTTCGACTTGTGCTTAAATCGTCTTCTGGACTTGAGCGAAAGGAGCATGAGGATTGAGAGGAGCGGTGTTATCAATGTGATGAGGCAAGACTTATGCTTGATAGAGTTGTACTTGAAATAAAGACTTTAAGACTTTATGCATTAAAAAGTAGTACCAAATGCATTAGATTTTTTAAGACTTTTCTTAAATCTGGTTTATAAGGTAGTATAGATTTATCTTGCATTATTTTCAAAAGAAAGCTTGATTCCAATGATTACTGCTTGTACAACTACTATAATAAAATGTGGTTTTATAGAACGCCAAAATATTAAGTGTCATAGTAGACTATCTTATACGACTTAGTTTATAGAATCAAACAAACTTACCTATTTATATGGGTTACAATAAGTTCATAGGATGATCTAAGGTGTTTTAAAAAACTTTTTGGTACACTTTTGGAAAAAGTATCCTATTAATTTTTTAATACACAATTATTTGAAAAAATGTCGTATAAAAATAAATATCCTATAAAAAATTTGTTAATACTTATAAGACATTTTCAAAAGTATCATATAAGAAAATGTGTCCGTAGGACATTTTTCAAAAGTGCCTTATGAAATAGTTAATACGACATTTTATTTCAAAATTGTCTTAAAAACTTATTAAGACACCAAAAAACTTTTTACAAACTTATTGTAACATTTTTACAATGGATATTTTATTGTTTGATTCTATAAACTTAAATCATATAAATTAGTCTATTCGGATAGTACATTTATACATTCTTAACATGTTATAAATCCGATTTTATAATAATGAACTTATAGTTGACACCATTGTAGTTTTCTACCATTCAAGTTGGTACGACTGCAAATTTGCACTATAACAAACTCGACTTAATTTCTAAGATGCCAAATACATCTGAATATCATAATAGACTGCTTCATCACTACCAATCAAATGACTTTTACTGATGGAAATCACACCAAAGATTTTATTTAGGTGATTACCAACCCACAAAATACTAACAATAACGAAAGAATCTTGAAGTAAAGTTGACGGTTCCATTGGAAATCCCTGAGTAATACTGACGGCTAATTGACTATTTAAGAAAAAAAGTATTTTTTCATTGTTTCGTCAGTGAGTAATAATCCTCAGGTAATCACTGACAATTTACTGAGTATATATAATTAAATGGGAAAAAACTATCTTTTTGGTTGTTCCGCCAACAGTCTCTAGGTATTCACCAATAACTTAAGGAAAATTAGTTTTTGGTTAAGAAATAGATAAACATTAAAGGTTCCGTCCCGTAATCCCTAGGTAGTCACCGTCGGGTTACCGAGTATTTAATCACTCTAGCGATTGACGACATTATTAGTTGGTAATCCTTTATCGACAAAGTTCAATAGAAATTTATGTAAGTAAAAGTCTTCGATTTAGTAGTGTATATATTGGACTTAAGTTATAATATCAAACAATTGGGCATCCTATGTAAAAATGTTGCCATAAATGATTTGAAGTTCTTGGACATCCTAACAAATTTTTTGAACACTTTTGAAATAAAATGTTTTATTAGACTTTTTTTATATGATATTATTTTAAAAAGGTTTAAAAAAAAGTGTTCTATAAAAAATGTGTAAATAAGAAAGTTCTTAAAAATGTCCTACAAAAATGTTAATATGACAATTTTTTCGTGTAATGTTTTAAAAAAACTTTGCAGGACACTAAAAAAATGACGTGCTATCAACTTATTGACTTATTGTAAACATTTTTATATAAGGTGATTATTTTATAAAACCAATTTTGTTATAATATTGGATCCATTTATTGTAAACTTTTTTATCTAAGGTAATTATTTTATAAAACCAATTTTATTTTGTATACTTTTTTATATAAGGTAATTATTTTATAAAACCAATTTTGTTTTGTAAACTTTTTTATATAAGGTAATTATTTTATAAAACCAATTTTGTTATAGTAYTGGATCCATTTAYTGTAAACTTTTTTATATAAGGTAATTATTTTATAAAACCAATTTTGTTATAGTATTGGATCCATTTATTGTAACTTTTTTATATAAGGTGATTATTTTATAAAACCAATTTTGTTATAGTACTGGATCCATTTACTGTAAACTTTTTTATATAAGGTAATTATTTTAAAAAACCAATTTTGTTATAGTATTATAACACAAATTTATTAGAATAACTTTGGGGAAAGATAAATGAATAAATCATGATTTAGTTATTATTTTTGAATGTTGAATGAATACATTTTATTTCAAAAACCTTTTCTGTAATTAACCTCATTCTAACTCATGATCCATCTTGTTCAACCTCAATTTGAAATATTTAATTAAATTAAATTTGATTTATGATATATATATATATATATATATGTGTGTGTGTAGTCGATGATTTATTAGCACACAATTAATATTTGGAGGTTATTGTTTTGTAATACAAAGAAATTAAGGTACATGGCTTCACCAAATATTTCAAAATAATATTGTATTTAAAGCAAGATAATATTTAAAAATCTAAATATTATATGCTCCACCAAAGAATCTGGGAGAGAATATGCTTTTGCTAAACATATTTTAGGTGTTAAAAATTACTTTTTAACTCCCGGAGCTGCATGACATGATAGAGTAAAGTATTGGTCACTTTTACTATATATATCTTATACAGATAATAGCATTAACTCTCTCTTAAAAATAATTGGTTAAATTAAATAACCCCCATTGAAAAGTTAATTAGAAATAGGAAAAAGTAAAAGATGTTTGGTAGGATTACCTTTTTTATCCTTCTTCAAAGAATCTGGTCTATCTGTGAGGAATCTAGGATTCCTTTGTTTTTTTTTTTGTCGAACCGGTCCCGAAAAATCGTAACTTTGTATGGATCAGACAAATTTCTTTTATTTTCAATGGACATCGGCTCTAAAGGGTTCGCCGCACAAAATCTTAAACGATGCCTAACATTCTAGTCGTTGGCGCAACCACAAGCGTATTTTACTACCCTAATATTTGAGTATGACAATCTCAGATTTTTTTCGATAATCTTACAATTAATGCCGTTATTATTATATTTTGATAAAAATCTATGAATTTAATGATTACCATACCGGGTCATAAAGCAATTTTGTTGAAGCCCTAAGAATTTTGTATATATAGGGAATGCTGGTTTGGAACCAAGTAAGCCACACACAAGCTTTCACATAATCACATTTCTATCATTGAAGTACTTGTCTGACCGTACTACAATGCCGAGGAGCAAAGTGAAGCTTGAATACATAACCGATGAGTATGCAAGGAAAACTTCCTTCATGAAAAGAAAAACTAGTGTGATGAAGAAGTTGAACGAGCTATGCACTTTATGCGGGGTTGACGCATGTGCTATCATGTATAGCGAATACGATCCTGAAGTTGAGGTGTGGCCCAGCAACGTTGGTGCTCAATTCGTGCTAGATCAGTTCATGATGATGCCTGAGGTGGAGCAGAGCAAGAAGATGGTGAACCAGGATAGCTACATCAGAAAAAGGATTAGCAAGGCCAAGGAGCAGCTCGACAAGCATATGAAGGAGAACCGGGAGAAGAAGATTGGCATAGTGATCTCAGAATGCTTGAGTGGAGAAGCATCTGTGGTTAGCTTGACCCTGATGGATTTGAAGGATATGGTGTTTTTGATTGATCATTACGTCTCAGAAATTGATGCAAGGCTTGAGTTTCTCAAGGGAGGGGGACCACCACCACCACCACAGCTAGTTCAACCACAAGCAAATGTTGGTGGTAGTAGCACAGATAACCATATGGTGGAAGGAGGAGTGCCTGCAGATGGCTATGTACCCGTGGTAGAGAACGCTGGAGCTTTGGATGGGATAATACCAAATACCGAATGGTTCACCGACTGGGTGGATGGTTTGGGTTTTGGTCAGGGGGATCACATGACGAGTAATTCCCCTGCTGCTGACCCCAATCCTCCATGGTCGAGTCCTTCTTCAAAAACAAGTTAACTCGTTTCCTTGTCTAAGTAATTCCAACAAGAGAAACTGGCTTTCTTTTTCATATGCGAATTGCTGTATCTTTTCTGTTTGCTTTTTCCATCGATGTCGGTTTTGTGGTCGTTTTAATCTTTGTTTCTTAGTTTGGTTGACTAAATCTCCTGGGATATCTAATGTTGTTGCAATTCGATCTAACTAGAAACAAGTTTATCTTTTACCTTGAGTGTTCTTTTATCATTATAAAATTCATATATACCAAGTATTATGCATATCCGAAATTGCATTCATGAATCTTTTTATCCGAAACTTCTAATTTGAGATGCTAGAAACTATTTGATGAATCTAAATATGAAATCTGTAGGAAGTGTTTTTATATTTCTAAAAAATACAAGTGTATTTCTAACTTCTAGAAGTCAGATAAATCAGTTTTATTATTAAAACATCAGCATAAAAGCTTTCGGTTATAGATAAATAAATGACATGAACATATATATAGCACGACAACCGGAAACAAAGAGAGCAAAACACATCAGAGATCTATTAGGAACATGGTTGATGTGCATTTCTAACAATGAACATAGATTTGTGGACTTGACACCATTAGTTAGGAACATGGTTGATGTGTATTTCTGTGTGATTTTTGAGTTTAAAATGCGACTATAGAGCACATGCATGTCAAATTAATGAGGACTCGGGTATTTGTATTTTTAAGCATTTTGCTTGATTCATAGTAGTTGATATTCATTATGTCATTTTCTAACTCAATTATTTAGAATTCCAGGAATTATTGCTCTAATAATTAATATTCTTATATAGGATGTATCACCATAGTTCTACTTTGTGATGTGCATTTACATTCGCTTAAAATGTTTGACACTTTTCACCAATGAATCATTGATAGGAGATATGTGCATGTGTATTTGTTGTGTTTGGGGACAGGATCGAGGGGAAAGGGGGGTCCCTGTTCTTCTGCATCGAGTTGCTTCCTTATTTATTATGATTCCATCATCATTTCTTGCAAACTGGTACTCCCTTGTTACATATAACATATCTACATATTGATTGTTCGATGTCAAACCTTTTACCAATCATTTTTCAAATTGATATGTATTTCATCACTGATTTACGACCAAGATCTTTCAATTTATATTCATGCTAAATAAATTGATGTGGTTATCGATCTTTTCAGTGAACGCTTAAAATCCACAATGATTAAAACTTGTAAGGAATCGATTGATTTGAAAAAGTCAACTTGTAAAGATTTTGTAATGTATGAATCTAATGGCTTACCACCTCGATCTTGTCGCCACCGGCAACAAACATGCATGAACTATTTCACGGAGTAACATCCGAGATGGCTCTTTATGATACTATGCAATTTGTGCAACCAGATGTACATACAATATCATGGGATTAGCCGCTTTAATGGGATCTTTTATCTTGGTCGGAGGAGAAATTACCAAACATCTAGCATTCCCTCACGCTTGGCACCAATGACGCTTTTATTTGAGAGAAAAATTAGTAACGTGTAAATGATAAATTTAGTGAAGTTCGTTAAGTTTCAACTCAATTTGGCTGGACTGTGTCATTATAGCTTGAGAGCTCAATGTCAAGGGAGTGAACATGTTTAAATCAATCCCCTTTACGGTAAACCATTTGTTTTACCTTTTACTTTATTGCAGATACTTGTAGAGCTGTAGATAACAAAGTTTAACATTTTAAATATAACTTTTGTGATCATCACAGCATGATGTAGGAATCAGTTTGTCTCTTCACCTCCATTACATTCTGGATGTCAACGGCTACTGCTGTTTTTTTGTCTGGTTTCAGCATAATTCATTTCTAATTCCTCCATATACTTGCTGGTGATACCTGTAGCCAATTCCCAATTTGAGACCTTTATTACATTTCCTGGCCGGATTTTGAGCAAAGGTTGATCACTGAATGGATCCACAAGGAACCTGCACCCTAGGAACCTTGCATGCAAGGAGGCATTTCAGAGCTTACTCAGAGGCTGAGGCTAGCAGAGGGGTTCAATCCCGTCTCCTGCAGTATTTGAACTCGAATATGTTGTGTATTTGAGCAAAGTTGCTCTGTCCCTTTGCCAACTGAGCCACATGTCCGAGGCCTTCCTTACAGGATTTTAACCTTAATAGTTTGTATTTGAATCCATACATCGTTAAATTTACTTACATTGTCTTCACTTGAGGTACATCTTCTGCTGCACTAGTCCACTCATCAATTTAATGAAACATATATGCTGGTGCTGGAGCCCAAAACTGTCGATAGAATTAGCAGCAAAATCTGAATCTGTAGTTTCTATAGTCTATGCTAAATCCCAATGACATTAGATGTGCTTTGCTGATTCAGGGGTAGGGCTGGGGGTAGAGGCATCATCTATTTGCTGAAGTATTCTGGCCAATTGGTTACATCTGTTGTTAAGTACAAATAGTGACTACATTTCACATGCAATCAAGTTTTGGTGATCACGATAAGGCAAAAAAGATCGAGTTTCAGCTTAATTTGTTAATAAAGAATATTAGGAACTTGAGATTTAGCCATTGGATTAATCATGGAAAATATTTACTGAGGTACATGCTTAAAATGCAAAATGATTTCTCAAACTGATGGCAGTGATTTCCATGGGACATACAACAATTTTTTTACATGAACTGATTTCTATTTTTTTTTTCTTATGGCATAAGTAATAGTAAACATCGGAAGAGCATCTCAACTTCTATCATACTCGTTCGACTCACGTATGTATCGTTGAAGGTAATCTAGTTATTTGTATGGTTCGATAAGTTTTATGGAGTTTCTTTTACTCTGATTGTTTTGAAAGTAAAATCGACTTTGACATTCAACACATTAGACCTGGAGTACCACAGTACTACTACTATACTAGCTTCCAACAAGGCTTTTTATTTTTCATCCTCAATATGTTCATGGAAATATCACTGCTCTATATTTGGAGGTTAGTGTGATTGATCATCTAGTTTCCGTTATGATCCTAGTTGTTATGTGTATTATTAATGTCATAAATTATACGAAGGTGCTTAAAACATGAAACTTGTTAAGATCACATATATATATATATATATACATATATATTAATCACAATAATTACAGGAAATAATATACCGATGATACAAGATTTGGTATCTGAAGCCCATTCAGAAGTAGAACTGCAAACATTGAAATTGTTATTATTTCTAGAACATGTCTCGAGTTTTTGCTAACTTTGAAATACTGAAAACTATAATCTCTAGTAGAAATTCTACACGTACTTGTTATGGTTTTGATAATTCGTGTCTTGTCCCTTCTCATTCCTCAATATTTATAGCAATACAATTTACATTTAGGTACCACCGACTATGCTAAGTATTGAAAATATAATACATAATAATATAGACTAATACACCCCCGCAGTCTAAGGTGGAGGTTCCCGTAAGCTTAGGCTGGATCGAAAATCATCAAAAAGAACTCGGGGTAGGCCTTTAGTGAATATGTCTGAAAAATTGTGCCGAGACGGTACATGAAGGACTCGAACTTGACCACGTTGCACTTTCTCGCGAACAAAGTGAATATCCACCTCCACGTGTTTTGTCCGTTGATGTTGAACCGGATTG